TCTTAGAATGAGTAGCAATATCCACTCGAACCATCTCAGCCTAGACGCGTCCTCCTCCTCTTCCTCCTCCTCCTCCTCCTCCTCCTCTTCGTCCTTGGTCCACGAGCCCAAGATGGATGCGCTCATCATCCCGGTGACCATGGAGGTACCGTGCGACAGCCGGGGCCAGCGCATGTGGTGGGCTTTCTTGGCCTCTTCCATGGTGACTTTTTTCGGGGGCCTCTTCATCATCTTGCTCTGGCGGACGCTCAAGTACCTGTGGACCGTTTGCTGCCACTGCGGGGGCAAGACGAAGGTAACGCGCGCCCCGGGCGCCCGCCCCCCGCGCCCTCCCTGCAGCCCCCCTCCGCGCTCCGCGCGCCCTCCTGCCTCCCCGCATCTTCGCTTCCCCCCTCGCCGTCTCCTCTGCCTTCCACGCTGCCCGCGCCCTCGGCTTGGGGCAGCGGGCGGCGCCAGGCGCGCCAGGAGTGAGGAGTTGTCCCTAACTGGTGCGCGCCGGGACAGGGGCGCTCCATCCTGTCCCCTTGTTCGCCGTTTGCAGGCGCGGTTGGACCCGGGTTGGGGGACGCCCGCCTCTCGGTGCTGTAGTGCTGCGTAGGGAGAGGCAACCTTGCGGGCACGGGGGAAGCTCCAGGATTGGGGGGTGTTCGCCTTGGTTCACGTGCCCTGGTTCAGTGGGCGAAGGAGAAGCCCACGGGCTTGCCTTTTAGGAACCTGTTGGGAGATACGTTCATGTGGTCAGGAGGCAGGGAACATCCTTTGGGAAAGGCAAACATCTTTTAGATCAGGAATTCTGGGGGAGGACCAAGCCCTGCGGCACCGTGGGGAATCCTAGAGGGGGTAAGAGAAAAGTTGGGGATAACCACCCCAGTTTAGGAAGCATCCCTTGATGCCTTCACTCTAGGGATGTGAGGTCACCTTCCCTGGCCTTGGGATTCTTCCAAGCTCTTAGGTCTTAATACTCAGCCCTCCCTGTCCCCCACGCCCCACCCCACGTCAGTCAGTCCACCTACTTTGGGTCCCGGAACTGTCATGAAGAGCTGGGGGCAGGAGGTCCCCTCTAGAGTTGGCCTTCACTGTGCATCCCCCCCGCCCCACCTACGGCTCAACCTCCATGCTGGATGCTGACCAGCTATTTCTCGTGGAGAGACCCCCCCCCCAGCCCCGACGCTTACCACACACTGGATGTTTGATTGTGAGGTGGACTGCACTGTCTGTCATCTTGTTTCCGGAGATGCCCTCTTTCCTTCTTCACTGACTGGAAGCTGAGAGGGAGGGTAGTTTTGGATAGAAAATCGTATCAAAAGGAACAGCGGTAAAAAGAAGTGGATAGAGCTACTTTTAAAATATGTATTTCTCATCCTAGGGAATGGGAAACTCACAGCCCCAATATTTTTGGAGGGAGGCACATTAAGTGAAACAGTGCAAGATAGACACTAATCTTGGTCTTCAGTGCGTGCATTTTTTATAGGCAAAGTTTACCTGAAGGGCACTCTTCACCCCAAATTTCTTTGGAGCCCTAGAACTTATAGCAGTGAATAGTGGTTGCTAAAGAAAGCAATGGGGAAACTGGGTGGCACTGTTTATAATAAAAACTTAAGAGTGAACTGAAGCTTCTCTCTCTCTCGATCATTAATTATACATTGTACTGGGTGGTGGAGCTCAGCTGTGTTTTGTGGCCGTGCATTTGTGTTTTGGAAAATACTGGTGTGTTGGAAATAAGGGAGGAAAATGAAAGCCATCATTCTCTGCTTCCTCCTCCTCCTGCTTCTTTGTTTCCTTGTTGGCCAGTCACCTTTCACTGGAGTTACCTTCTCAGAGAAAGAGGTTCCCTGTCTTATTCGTCCATCAGGAAAACCTTCCAGTTTCTAGAGATTAAGCAAACCTCTCACAGTGAGGCCAGTGCTCCCTGCCCAGCTCTCCTCCTAACTGCACACTTACTCAGAAAGCTATTGCCACCCATTCCCTCCCTCCACCTCTTCCAGCTTCTTCTCCTTCAGTGAGAGCCAGCAGCTGCCCTTAGGGGGAAGCTAGCTCATAGTTTCATGAAATCTAACAAGGTTTCTAGACTGAGTGATTTGGGTGCATTTTTAAATATGTAACCCCCTTTTTCCCAATAGCTGACCAATTTTGCTCAAAATGCTTTTTTCCCCCCTCCCTCAATGAGTGTTTTTATGCTACTGGAGTTTTAAACCCAGCTTCTGAAATTTCTTTCTACTCTTTGGACACATGGACATGTTAGGACAATGTATGTGATGAAATGCTAATCAGATAGTTTATGTGAAGACTTTATTTTGTACCTGATGACCAAGGATAACTTCTGTCAGTTTCTTCAATAAAATAGGTTTCAGTAATCACCATTAGGTGGGGGATCTCCCCCCAGCGCAGTCTAAGTACTGGGTTATATTCTGTAGCTTCAAGACTTATTGGGTTGATGTAACTGCCAGTTTTAAAAGGAATCAACCTGGGATGGAAAATATAGAATCAGATAAGACTACTTTTGATACTACCCTGTTTACCTGAAACTAAGACTGTGTCTTCTACTAATTTTTGCTCCCAAAGATGCGCTAGGTCTTATTTTCAGGGGATGTCTTATTTTTCCATGAAGAAGAATAC